TAAGGATGTATTATCATATAGTTGACTCTTCTTCTGTTATTGATGTAACTATGCTTCCAAGGCTTTTGGTAGCTTTGTAATGAAATCATTAATAATACTCTTTGACTAATCAATCTCCCATTGCCTCTTAGGAAAGATGCTGAGTCTCAGAATTACTGAGTCAGAGTATGGTCATGTTTATGGCTTTTGATATGTGTGTTCAAATTGCACTCTAAAAATTTTGTACCTGTTTACATTTAGATGAATCCAGGTTTTCCTAATTTTGACTGAGTAAAATAAAGTTTAACTGAACATATAACATTAGACAATAGTGTTCTGTTTATGAAACATTACTCTTAAACAGATTTGGAAATGTGTTTTCCATCCTCCATATTTAGAACTGTAGGTGTAAACAGAACTAGGGAAAGAATTTCCAGCCTTAACACTATATTAATTCATTTCACTTTAGTAGTTGTTTGTCTCACTGTGGAATAAAAATAACATTGTACTAGCCACCAGAAGGCCTGACTTTTAATTTTGTCCCCTCATCAACCATGTGACTCTCTGCAAATTGTTGAACCTCGCTGAATCTTTGTCCATAGAATCATGGTATTTGCCTCTGTTCTGCCTATCTCAGAGTATCTAGGAGAATTAAATGATCAAGGAGAGGGAAAGCCATCAATATTGAAACTGGTCAAATGAAATCATAAGATATTCATTTAGAAATATTCTGAATCTATCCAGTAGAGTTGCCACCAGGACATTTGTCTTGAATAAGTAACCAGATTTTCTGTGGCTTTTACTGATGAAGGCTGGGTTTCACACTTAGTATACAATGTCTATATTTGTTGATTTTTTTGTTAAAAAATAACATTAAAGAAAGAAGAGGTAAGCTTCCTATAATGAAAACAAATCAGAGACTGGACCACAGCAGCTTGAGATCCTGATTTAACTGGTCTAGCACGGGGGCTGGGCTGTGGTATGTTTTTAAAGCTCCTTAGGTCATGTCAATGTGCAACTGAAAATGAGAGGTTCTAGAACTGTGCTGTCAGTATGGTAGCCGCTAGCCACATGTGGCTATATAAACTTAAATTTCAACTAATTAAAATTAAATAGTGTTAAAAAGTCAGTTCCTCAGTTGCGGCAGGCACATATCAAGTGCTCAGTTGTCACCTATGGCTGGGGTGGTGGCTGCCACATTGGACAGAATAAAAGAACTTTCCTATCATTACAGAAAATTCTGTTGTTTGCCGGCTCCGTGGCCAAGTGGTTAAGCTCCCGCGCTCTGCTGTGGCAGCCCAGGGTTCAGATCCTGGGCGTGGACATGGCATCGCTCGTCAGGCCACATTGAGGCGGCGTCCCACATCCCACAACTAGAAGGACCTGCCACTAAGATATACAACTATGTATGGGGTGGGGTTGGGGAGATAAAGCAGGAAAAAAAAAAAAGAGATTGGCAACAGGTGTTAGCCCAGGTGCCAATCTTTAAAAAAAAAAAAAAAAAAGAAAAGAAAATTCTGTTGGACTCTGCTCCTTTTTTTTTTTCAGTTACCTCTATTATACTTTTTAAATTGAAGTAAAGTTTACATACAGCGAAATACATACACACTCTGAAATGACTATTAGATGAGTTTTGACAAATGTATGTACTCATTTATCCACACCCCAATCAAGATATAAAGGATTTGCATCACCCCTGGAAGTCCCCTCACGCCCACTTCCAGTCCGCCACCACAACCGATAAGCAACTGCTATTCCGATTTTTATTAACATAGATATATTTTGCCTGTCTTTAATTTCATATAAATTACTTGTTTTCATTAAACAATAAACCAACATTCCTGCTTATAAAAGATATCACATTATCAGATTTTTAGTGAACATAGTTGATTTAAATGTCAAATGTTGATGAAGAAAACTTTCTAAGAATTTCATAGTGTGGACAGCACTGCTTTTGATGCCTATACAGTTGAAGAAAGAAAACTTTTGGTTAGAGTAGTGTTTTTTCCCATTTACTCATTTAATCATCAAGTTCTTACTGCGGGCTTCCTGTGTGCCAGGCGGCTGAGCTAGAGTTGTGTTTCACACTTACTTTGTCCTCTACTGATATTTGTTATCTATGTAACACCTGTTCTGATAGTTACTTGCTGTTTTCCTAAATAAGTTTATTTTAAAAGTAAGCATTTTTATCATTACAAAAAGTGGAAAGTCACTATCATTTGCCTTAAATATAAAAGAATGTTTTAAAAATATACGGTGGGAGATTTCTGGCAAGAAAGTCTAATTATGAGGGACTTCAATTCTGCTACATAGAAAATGCCAGATAAAGTTATCTGTTAGAGTTTCAGTTTGTGTTAAAGTTTCAATACATATCTATCTGAATCAAAATACGGATGACTCCTCAAATTACAGAAAAGACAGAGAAATCAAAGGCAGAGTGGCGAGCAGGTGGGGAATCCTGGAGCCCCGCTGAGATTCTTGTCCCAGTTACAGTCATGGAGGCTGGAGAGCTAGTAGCCAGACTGGGTCATATGAGAAAGTGCGGAAGCTGAAACTGAGACAGCCGAAACCATCTCACAACAAACAAACTATACACGTGCACGCGTGCACACAGCCACACGAGACTCCAAGAACTTCTCTGGCAAAGAGAGCCAGGATGCATGAAGTCTATGTCTGAATGAATTGAAAACTTTGACAAGTAATCAAAACTAAATAAAAACTCTAGGCCCGCAGTGATGGTTAATTTTATGTTTAACTTCACTGGTCATGTGGTGCCCAGCCCTTTGGTCAAATATTATTCTAGGTGAGGGTATTTTTGGATAAGACTAGCAATTGAATAGGTATGCTGAATCAAGCAGATTGTCCTCCCTAATGTGGATGGGCCTCATCCAATGAACTGAAGACCTGAATAGAACAAAAAGGCCAAGCAAAAGGGGACTTCACCTGCCTGGCTGTGTATACATATACATATACACATGCACATATACATACAAATACGTATAAGAGAGAGCGAGAGAGAGGTCGATCTTATTGGTTCTGTTTCTCTGGAGAACCCTGACTAATACACCCACACACAATGTTAAAGCTAAAGGGAACAGATGAATCTTCTCCCTACTGGCTGGTGGATAGAACCTAGGAACGTGACCTCAGCTTTGCCAATCAAATGCTCCCACTGAGCCCTGGTGGGATTGAGAGACCAAAGCAAAAAGCCAAACAGCCAGTGATGATTTTGCAGTGACTGCAGCAGAATCAAGAATTGAGAGTCCAGTGGCATGTGGCTAAGCAGCCATGGGTGGTGGAACCCAGCAGCCAAGCTTCCAGCATCCATGGTTACAATGCCAACCTCGATGACATCAGAAACATAAACGCTGGCAGGGTCTTGACCACAGCTTGCTTCCCTTGATCCCAACCTTCCTGGCAGTCTGCTTAATTTGCTGCAACTGGTTTCTATTTCCCAGCAGGCTATGGGAACTCACTAAATAATGTAAGCAGGGAAATGACAAGATTAACGCCATGGGTTTGTGTCTCTTCATTCAGAGAATGTCGGTCACTTCTTATGAGAACAACCTCTCCCTCAACACATCTACAGTGGGATGCTCTTGAAGAGTTCTAAATTTGGATTGCATTTTCCTCGGTGCTATTTTGGATCTGGGCCAACTCTCTGCTGTGAAGAATAGGTGCATCTCAAGGTGTGAATTAAGTGACGTGATGAAAAGATCCGAGCTCCAAAATGTCCATCTTTCTCACCAACTGATCACAGAACCACCTCCTTACCTGAAAATTCCAACCAATAGCGTTAGTGACCACTCCAGGGGACTTTGGGTCTGCCTGTCCTCCAGCAGCAATGCATAGTTCCAAGGGGTTGCATGGATGCAGACTTCCATCCCAGCTCTACCATGGGCTAGCTGTGTGACCTTAGACAACTGGACCCTCAGTTTTCCTTCTTTGTAAAATGGGTATAACAATAGTCCTTAACTCGTGGAGGTATGATGAGGTTTTGGTGAGATGATGCTTGTGAAGATCGTTTCATGGTGCCTCGCACATAGAAGACGTTTAGTGAGTAGGAGATATTATGGTTATACCTCAGAAATCCAGAGGGCAGAAAGTATGTGACAGAGATGTTCATGTTCAGCGGGCATTGGAAGGGGTGTTGCATGTTCAAGTCCAGTTTGGGCCTGGTTCATTTTAAGAAACCCATAGTCACTTTTATATTTATGAGTTGTCTCATATTTTATAAAACGTATTAACATATACCCACATCCTACATTAAATATCATTTTTTTTTGCTGTAAAATATTGAAAAGATTTTTTATTACTGCTTTTTTGGAAATTATTTAGTATGAATAACTCACTTAACTTACATTGCTTAGAAATCATTGTGCTTGGATCAAAACTCTTTTGAAATAATAGGCAAATCTACAGATTTTTTCCAAGGTAATACCATTTTTATAAATGTAAATTTTTTTTGGCTAGGCTTCATATTGGCAGGGGAAGTTTCCTCCAACTTTTTATTAAAAATTAACACATATGGGAGTGGCCCTGTGGCCTAGCGGTTAGGTTTGTGCACTCTGCTTTGGTGGCCTGGAGTTCACCGGTTCAGAGCCTAGGCGTGGACCTACATACCTGGCTCACCAAGCCATGCTGTGGTGGCATCCCACAAAGAAGAACTAGAATGACTTTTTTTGAACCCGTGTCAATAAAATTACAGGGCCGCATTTCGTATGTCTGTTTTTCTCTTTTAATATAGAAACTTTTCCCCTCATGACATTCACTTTTTCAGGGATCCAGGTCCCTTGTCTTTTAGAATGCTTTGTTCTGGATTTGTTTGTTTCTCCATGGTGTTCTTTAACTTGTTTCTCCATCTCCCAGCTCCTTTATTTCTTATGAACTGGTAGTTAGGTCTAGATTCTTGATTGAGCTCAGTTTCAACACGTTTGGAAGACTACGTCACAGTGATGCTGTGAACTCCCTATTGCATCACATTGGAAAGCAGGTTCCATTCAGATGGTCCCAGTGTCAATCCTAAGCTTGAGCACTTAGTGAGTGTGGTCACCCCAGATCTCTCATTTTCACCTTTTGCGATTGTTAATTAACGTGGAGGGTCGTGCCTTGGTGCTGTGAAAATATACTGCTTATCAATAACCTTTTACCTAACGATTTTAGCATTTGTTGATGATCCTTGCCTGAATCAATTATTACAGTGGGAATTAGAAAAAGGTGATCTATTATTATTCTCTCTAAATTTACTAACTGGTATTCTCTCTCTCTCTTTCTCTCTCTCTGTCTCTTTTTCCATCTAACAATAGATCCATAATGTAACAATATAAAGCCATTAAATTTAATAATAAAGGAAACTGACGTAATGTGATATAAGGGTACATTTTGTATTTTTTTCTTTTGATGGGTAAAGCCAGCAAATCTTCTCACACATGTTTAGCTCTTGAAAAGTTTATAGCCTCTGTGACACTGTAGTGCCTAGTGGATAAAATAGCCTTTATAGGAACTATTTCTAAAAACATGGTCAGCATTAAACAGTTTTGTGTTGTTCAGCACTGTGAGTGAGCGCGTCAGCAGGTGAGGAAAAATTTGTGCTTAGGAAAAATAGTCTGCCTGAAATCCAAGGACCCAAGAGGTCTGCGTGAGAACATCTGGGGGTGCGATGGGTGGGGCGCAGGAAAACAGACTAATGTATCTGTCTGCTATCTTCTGCGACCTACTATGACTTAAATCAAACCAACAAGCATTTTATGAGTGTTTATTCTGGGTTAAAGACTTTGCTAGTATTCCTTTTGGCTATTTACTTCTGTAAGCTTTAAGAAGAACTGGCTATTCACTTGTTTATTTCTTCATTTATTCACTTAGGAAAGCTGACTGCACATCGACAGTGTATGAGCCTGGAGAGGGTTCTCTCTCTTGTAGGAGAGGGGAACCACATCTAAACAGTCATGGCTGCAGAGAAGGAATGTTCACATTCAGGTGAATCTTTCTTTCTTGGGTCATAATTCCATTCAGTCTCTCTCAAATACAGATTTTCCTTGACTTATGACGAGGTTACATCCCAAAAAACCCATCGTAAGGTGAAAATATCGTAAGTTGAAAATGCGTTTAATATAGTTAACCTACTGAACATCATAGCTTGGCCTAGCCTACTTAAATGTGCTCAGAGCACACATTAGCCTAGAGTTGGGCAAAATCATCTAACACAAAACATATTTTATACTAACGTGTTGAATATCTCGTGTAGTTTATTGAATGCTGTACTGAAAGTGACAAACAGAATGGTTGTATGGGTACACAATGATTGTGAGTGGCTTCCGGCTACTGCCCACACGAGTATCACACTGTATATCACTAGCCCGGGAAAAGATCAAAATTCAAAGTACAATTTCTACAGAATGCCTATCACTTTTGCACCATCATAAAATCAAAAAACTGAAAGTCGAACCATCGTAAGTGAGGACTGTCTGTACTATTTATTTGCTTTATCATGCTAATTTGAGGGGTGTTTTGGTTGTCATTTGCTTTCCTGAGCTGTTCTTAACAGCTTCCAGTAACGAGAACTATTTTTAGGGCTATTTTTTAAACTACTTCCAGCACATTAAAAAAAAATTAATTCAGAGTTCATGGTTTCTTTTGAAGCAATTACTTCAGTAAGTTTTATTTTCCCCCTAATTGTTTTCAGGAGAATTTTTGGCTCTATGGTGGTTAAGAACATGACTTCACGTCTGTGAGTTTGGGTTACATCTCTCTTGATTTGTAGTGTCTTTGTGAAATGGAAATAAAAATACCTAGTCCACAGGACTACTGAAAAAACTATCTGAGGTAGCATATGTCTCATTGAACTCAGAGCTCAATCAATGGTATCTTTGATTGCAATGTTATGAATGACAGTGTTTGGCACCTAAAAATAATGTTGTATAGATTTATTTTCATTAATAAGCTGTCAAGGTAAACTCTGAGAGACTGCCCTTGCTTTGCTTGCTTCTGATTTTACTTTGGCACGGTATAGTCATCAAGTTCATAGCTCCCTTCATGTCATTTTTTCCCTCAGAAAAATAGCTTATGGAATAAATACCACATTCCTGAGGCTGGTGTTCTAGGACGTCTGCCAATCAAACCAAATTGCTTGCTCTTCTCCAAACTCACTCTGCATGGTTCCCTGCACCCTCTTCAGACCGTCCTCTCCACCCAAAGGCTCTTTGTCCCCTAGTTTCCACCTATTCCTGCTTCTTCATGTCCAAATTATGTTAGTTCTTTCATGCCCAGCTCCAAGACAATTTAATTGTGGAAACGTAACCGATTCCTTCGACTGAAAATTATTGCTTCCTTCTTCAGAACCTCTGTAGTCCTTTCTCTGCAGTTAATTTTTAGAGCACTTGGCCCTTTTATACTATATATTATTGTCATTTATATAGCCTGAGTTTCATTGATTTCTTCCCCTTGACTCTTTTTTTTTGGTGAGGAAGATTGGCCCTGAGCTAACATCTGTTACCAATCTTCCTCCTTTTGCTTGAGGAAGACTGTCCCTGAGCTCACATCTGTGCCAATCTCCCTCTATTTTATATGTGGGATGCCACCCCTGTGTGGCTTGATGAGTGGTTTGTAGGTCCGTGGCCAGGGTCTGAACCCACAAACCCCAGGCCACTGAAGTGGACTGCAGGAACCCAACTACTACACCACTGGGCCGGCCCCCTAACCCCCGGACTCTCATAGTAGTTTACTTCTTCCAAATAGGTCTAGGAGTGCCCCAAAGTCGTCAATAGGAACTCGCAGACATATCTGGTTTGGATTTGGCAGTTGTATCTCTCTTATTTTGCTTCCGTCTGACTTTGGTGAGTACCGCAGAGCCCACCACTGCCATTTCCTTTGCTACTTCCATCTGGCAGAGAAACTAGGTACTATGGCTCCCGCCTCCTCTTCCCATGCCACCCCCCCACCCCCATTGTGGCCTTGCCAACGCTACCTCTGCGCCTGCCAAAACATGGTGGGATTGCAAGATGGGAGTGAATACCTCTCTTTAGTTTTGGTTACACCTGAGCCTTCAGCATCTACGAAGTTTTAGCTCCTTTTTCCTTACAGCTTTTCCAGCTTCACCACCGTGGGACTCCGTCCAAAGTTCTTGAAGGCTGGGCCGGGAGATAAACTGATCTGGCAAACACGGTGCTGCACTGCACACTGCCCCTTCCTTTTCACAGCTGAGGGTTTGTTACTGATTAAGCCTCTGCAGGCTTGCTACTTCTCCCATTAGAGTGTGCCACTGTCCAAAGATCCTAAGGGCCACTTAAAAAAAAAAGGAAAAGAAAAACTTCTCTGCCACTTTTTCCAGACACATCTGAACTCCAATGTTAGCTACAAATAAGGCTTCTTCTAAAATCTTCAGTCTATGTTTATCTCTTCTGAGCATGTCTGGATTGTAAGTTTCTCTGGAGCACAGTTCATGTCCACAACACCTGGAACATAGTAAGTTCTCAATAAATGTTTATTGGGTAAGTGAATGAATGAGTTAAAATAATACTAGCTAATATTTATTGAGTCCTAAATGCTACTTCTAGTGTTTTATATGCATTACCTTGTTTAATCATCAGGAAAACTTTATAAGGAAGTTTTATTGTTATTCTGATACACGACCCCACATCTTCCATTTGGTCCTGCAGATCCACTCTCCACCCTTCTTTACCTGTCTCTGCCACAGGGGGCTGACCTGTGCGGTCTACCTCAGTGGGGCTCCTTTTCCCTCTGGTTTGCGTGAGTTTGTCCATTGGGAGGCACAGGCAGATCAGAGTGAGAGAAAAGAGAGGGAGAATTTGCTGGCCCTTTCTTTGTGGTGTTGCCTTGAACAAGCTGGGACCCTCTCCTGAAAGTCACAGCTCTTCTCAAGAAGGCCTTCTTCTCAAGAGCTCGTATGCTCTCTCCCTTCCTTTTTTTTCATACTAGAGGTGGTAATAGTAGGTCCAGAGTCCTTCACTCTCCATGGTGGGTTCCCCCATCCTTAGATCTCACCTGTGTAAATAATTCATTGTTAAACTCTCCTCTATATTATATTGAGTATGTCATCTATTTTTCTCTGGGACTCTGAGTCCCATGTTACTAATGAGAAAACTGAGGCCCACAGAGGTTAAGGAATTGCTCAAGATCACCAGACTAAAAATGTTGGCATAGAGATTTGTATCTAAGCCATGGCTGTAACTACCGCATTGTGCATCCACAGAAGAACTGCATTTGAATGCTGGGCGGCAGCGAGGCACAGTGGATAAGCGCATTCCCGTTGCGGTCATAAAGATCTGGGCTCCAAAACTGCCTCCAGAACCTAGTTCGGATGCAACTTTTGGTCAATTATTTCACCTCTTTAAGATTCAGTTTCTAAATCTGTAAAATGGGAATGTTACCTATCTTAGAATTACCATAAGTCTTAAAGTAACAAGCTAATTTATGTAAAGTGCTGGCATACTATCTGGCATATGATGAAAACTCAATAATTATCATAAAAGCTATTGCTGAGGCGATTGTTTGGAACTAACGGAGAACATGGGCAAAGTTTCATACAAAGTAGCTTTATTCAAGATGTATACATTCTGGTGGGGTAGACAGCAAATATGTGAATAGTAACAAAAGTACAAGGAATAATCATAATAGAAACAAAATAATAGAATACTGGATGTTTAGAACAGGCATTGGAACTAAAGGGCTCCAAGGAAAGGGAAGGACCTTGTGGTTCAAGCTAGACAGGCCAGGTTTCATTCTATATTTCTCCAGTTTTCTCCTGCGCTTACTTTCTTGCCTTGGCACTGGCCATCCTGTTGAGTATGCAAACATCCCTGGGCGATGTGGTCTGAGTGAACGAACAGAAATCAGCGGGCTTCACTGTGAACCTTCTCCCGGGCTGTTAACTCCTGTGACGGTAACCATTGCTTTCTGTGGTGGCCTGCCTGGCTGTTCTAGTAGAATCAGATTGGTGGGGGCAGGGAAGGCAGAGTCAGTATGCTGGCTTCAGAACATCCTTGGCTGCACTCTTAAAAACAAAGTCTATCTTTTCAGCGAGGGCAATTATACAGAATATTTTCATGACAGCTTCACAACCTGAACCGAAGTTGTTTAAAAAGGTGCCAGTAAGTGAAAAAATACGTCTTAACTGTGAGCTCTGAAGAAAGATGGACAATACAAAGTAAATAATGAATACCTCTTGTGGGCACAAATATTCCAAGTGTACTTCTAAACAATGGCAAGGCTTGCAAAGATATGATATGCATGTACTTGCCAGCCTCTATCAAAACTGGAGATGGTCTCAGACTCTCTAAACACAACACCGAAAGTTGCCATCATTCATTTGATTGGAGTTAGTACAAAAGATAAAACTTGTCTATTATCACTCTGTGGAGAGGAGGACCCTACCTTTCCACACCATACCACCATCAATATTTACCACTGCGTATAAAACCAAATAGGACTGGTCTCAGTTTATTAGGTGAATTAGTTAATTCTATTGATAATATTTTATTAGTAAGTTGATATTTTTATTTAAGAATGTAAACTTAGAATATTAGCTGCATTCTGAATTATGATTTTTTATCCTTATTTATGGTGTGTATGGGGACTATATCTGTTAACTTTTGCTGTGTAAGAAACCACTCCAAAACTGAGTGACTTAAAACAACGATTATTTTATTTGTTCGTAATTCTGTGGGTCAGCAATTTGGGCTCAGCTCTTCTGGAATGAGTCTCTGTTCCAGGTTATGTTAGCTGAGCTCACTCATATTTGCCATCAGTGAGGGGCTGATGATCTGACTACATGTCAGGCAACTGCCTGGCTTGGCTATTGCTGAGGACAATGGAGGCAACAGGGTCATGTCCTCCTTACCATTCAGCAGGTTAGACTGGGCTCATCCTCCAGTGGTGGTCACAAGGTTCCCAAGAGCAACAAGAGAGGGCAAGTACCAATGGATGAGCACTTTTGGAGTCTCACCTTGTGTCACATTTGT